AGATTTTTGTGGTTGGGTAGGGGAGTTATTAAATACTTCTCCGCAACAAGCTGCCCAAGCTTTCTTTCTGATTCTGTATTTAGGTCCCCAAGAGGATCAACTTCAACACCAGCTTCCTGTGAAGCAGAAGAGCATGAAAAGGTTAGACTCACAACAGAGACGGCAATGGGAAGGGAAACAGCAAGTTTCTTCCCCAGGAGACTGACATACAGGCATGGGGGTGAAACAGGGAACAGAAGGGAGAACCCAGCAGTTTCCCCCATAACCTATCACTTCCGCTATGTGCAATTACTGCCTTTTTTTTTGGATGACCAAGAAATCCATTTGGGGCCAACCTGTAGGACCAAATGTCCTTCAGAACTCGGGAATAGTGGGCATCACAAATCTACCCTACTCTACTTAGATATCAAACTTAGTTCAAATGATGTAGGGGTCGCGCCTGTGACCTAAGTCACAACTCACAAGACTCTCAATCTTTGTCACTTGAATTAAGCCCTGGGGGCGCAGTTAATTTTTTTTTTGACAAAACGGATGCAATTGCCAGCAAAATTATTAGTTGGGACTCAATTGGCAAGGGAACTCACGATGTGCACGCAGATGAATAGAACTTAATTATCATTTTAGAACTTCTGTGTGCAACCGTAGCCCATTGTCAAATTGTTTACTACTTCATGTTCCCTAATCCTTTTTCCCTAAATTTATGCTACTTTTGCACCCGAGATGGTTCGGTTTCTTCAACATGAAAGAAGCTGATAATAACAGAATGCTTGCTGTGAAGCTTAGCATGACAACTTAGTGATTTCTTCAGGAAACAGCAAATTTCTACAACAAACATTTACCTTTAGCATTTGAATCCCCTCAGCAAATGTAAGTCGTAAGGTCTTTCGCAAATACTGCATTGTCAATAAAACAAATAGTTACTACCTCTGCAGAAAAAAGATACAAGTTGCTATTTAAGTAATTTTCTCATGGCTATATAAGTCATTGCCACAAGCAATAAGGTTTCCCATTTTCCAAGAGTAAGCATATGAATGTGTAAAAGAGCAAGTCAATCCGTGGAGGTTAAGCAATCATAGGTAGCATACTGATCACCGAAGTGGAGCCTAATTACCTTCAGAGGTTCAAAAGGGTATTGCTTTCCAACGGCTTCAAGTTCCTTTTTGCATTTCTCATTCAAGCTATCAAACATGGCCACAAATAAGCGGTCAACAATATCCATGACCTGCAAAAGTATACTTCATATTGTAATATCCAAGTAAAAGCACACTCACACTTTATATTGTACTTGCAGAAGCAGTTTTTAAGAGGCTCTAGCATGCCATACCTCTGAATAATGTTCCTTGATCTCCATTTCAACATCAAGACCTGTAAACTCGCACAGATGTCTATGTGTAAAAGAATCTTCTGCCCTAAAGACGGGGCCTACTTCAAATACACGGCCAAAATCACCACATATTGCCATTTGTTTGTGAAGTTGAGGTGACTGCGCCAGACATGCAGGTTGACCTTTATAATCTAATCGGAAAACAGCTGAACCTCCTTCACTAGACCCTCCAATCAATTTTGGAGTATGGATTCCTACAAATCCTTCAGAGAGCAAAAACTGCCTGAATATCTGCATTTTAACCGTAGAAAATTAGCTCATCATTTATAGTTTGCAAGTACTCAATAGAAATGTAGGGAACAATCTCGTAACTTCTTTCTTTTTGTTATACTATCACCAGAAAGTGACTAGAAGCACAAGCTGAATCACTTGTACATTAAAAATATAGTAAGAATAAGAATATGATATTGTGAAAATGTGCAAGCAAGGGAATATGCACCAAGGCACCATGTCTATAAACTGTGATACTAATTCCATTGTGCGGTGGATAGAGATTGGTAAAAGATTACCATATATCTTTGTGGCTACATCTCAAGAAAAAATGAAACTACCGGTTTTGAATCTTAAATCCTCATGAAATGACAATTCAGAACAAGCATAATGCAGTCTGTAAAGAAGATGAAAATTAAAGCAAACACAAAATCAAGTAATTCAAATAAATGCAGTTAGATGATACACTTGGGTGTTAGCTAACATTAAACTTAAAGACTTGTTGTAATAACGTCACTATAAATTTTGTTTTTGGATAAATGAGAAGTTTATATTCAATATTTTTATAGCACCGAGTAGGTGGTGTAATGGCATAGAAGCTACATTCTCAGGGATTACAGAAAGTACAAGAAATTCCCCAAAGAGTTCACTGTATCTTGTTTGTAACAAACTATATAGGTCCCTGTATTTCAGGCAATGCAGTACTTATTCAAAATTCTCACTCGCACAACTAATTTCTCAACAGTCTTCTCTCTTCTCCAAACAGAATACAAAACATATTTTGCAATAAACAGTAAATAGGTGAAATGGAAATATCGGGTAGTACAACGAACATTTTCGATTTGACATTGAATGCGGAAGATTCCTTGATTTGCAGGTGTGCGCATGTCTAGTATTCTGAAGTTTAAGCGAGTATCCTGATTTACACGAACAAGCTGCTCTCCTTTCTGCACTTGATAGAAAGATGTCAGCAGACGATCAAAAGGATAGAAAAAACATACACAGCATTAGTCCAGTTTTTGAAATTTACTGGAATCTCAATTTTTGAAAAGGTAACTGCGAAATGCTGATGACTTCCCTTGAAATATATTGTCAACCAATTACAATGTTAAAATTTCATTAAAGCAATGAACCAATTCGAGAAGAGAAAAGAATATACCTCTAAAGCTTGTTCTATCTCCACCTCGCTTCTAGCAGCATCCTCAATATTAATCGGTAGAGTGGGCACAGCCCTGTTGACACAATAAAGTTTGCTTATTTGAACTTCCACCTGAAGCAAATAAAAAAGACTAATAAGTACTAGTAACTACCAAAAACAACAAAATAATCAGCATATACAAGATTTCAAAGATTCTTCTGCACCATTTAGATCAGGCTTATCATATAATAAGGCAACTCCACTATTCATCTTCTCTTGTTTATTCTCATTTTCCATGAATCATTTTGTTTTGTTGAAAGAGGTACTTGTCAGACTAAAATGTAGAAAAGCTCTGGTAATATGAACCCTAAAGTTGTCTTAAATGACAAATTATTCGCACGATTCATATAGCCAAACTCAACTTATTTGGAATTTTGGCATAGTTGTTACTGTTTGGAATTAGTGGTCCAAATGGAGCAAATGGATATTAAGGAGCCATATACATTGGCTAATCTAGCCTTTAACCTACGGGTTCACGTGAACCCAACAGCATTTGCATTAAAAAATCCACTAAATATACATAAATATTTTGCCTGTGAACTTAGGATATCTCTTACTCCCGATCCTTAGCTAGACTTTGGTCATACATTTTGAAAAGTTCTCTTCAAATATCTATTTGGCATGAAATTCAAAATCTGAACTTAAATATTTTCAAGTTCCCAAGAGCTGGATCAAACAAATTTTGGTTTTTGGGACTTCTACACAAAACTTCCAAGTAAAATGCATGTCCAAACACAACTTCATGTTCCCAAAAACTCAAATTTGCAGGCTTTTACTTTCAACTTCAAAATCATGGCCAAACGGGAGTTTGAAAGATGATTTAGGGAGCATAGAAATGAACCAGGTCCAGTGGAATGGAAAATTGAGGACTCAATCTAAAAAAAAACTTTTTAAAAGATTAATATAAGTGACACCAACTTAGTTTCATTGAGAATTGGCCTAATATTATATGACTTAAGTGTATCAAGAAGAACTATAAAAGCATAAAGCAATAACCTTTTTGAAATAAATCTACCTGTTGTTGAGTGGCACCAGTAATTGGCTTCTCTGGTATTGTAACAACACCTTCAACATCAATAATGGACTCTTTGCTCAAACTAGTAGCATATTTCACCATTTGTGAACTAACCAATTCAGGCTTCACAGTCAATACACACTGCACCGTAAATCCTCGTTCCCTCACAACCACAAAAGCTATCTTTTTCCCAACAGGACGAATCGTCTGTACCCTCCCCCGAACCAAGACCACCCGGTCCTTCATTTCTGGCGCGATGGACCCAACTTCAGTCCACTTTCGACCCGTCACGGCCTTAGATTGCAGATCGTTCAGCTCTACGTCACCGTAGTTTCCGGAAAGTGGATCAGATTCTTCAATGGAGACAGTGGAGACAGCAGTGGCGGCGGCGGCGGCGGCTGCCTCTTGACGGCGGCGCTGACGCTCCAGCTTGGCGGCTTCTTTTTTGGAGATTTTGTTGCTGCCTTCTTCTTGTGGTTCCATTGGAGATGGATTTTGGGGTTTCTCCGACTCCATTTTTTTGAGAAGACTTTAGGGTTTTAGCTCAGAGAAGAAGAAGAAAAAGTACAATTGTCCTTATGGATGACAGTTATATACATAACTGAATAAGCTACTTACAAATAGTCCACTTGAGTTCATCGAATAATTTATAATTTTTTCTTTTTCTTAAAAAAAACGTACTCTCGATCTCAAAATATTTGTTACTCTTCATTTTCCGAGAGATTCAAAAGGAATATAAGTGTAGTTCCATAAATAGTATTTGAAGAATATGTGTATACACACACATTAAGCCCTATTGTTATAGAGTAGAGAACAAATTAATCTTAGAATACCTAAATATTGAATTAATCAAATTAATTTTCGAAAACTAAAACATAACAAGGGTACTTTGAGAGGAAAAGAGTAGCATAGAGCATCAGTACAGTCTGGTTTTACCGTTGCACAAAAGAAAGAGAACGAGCTTCATCTATCCTTTTTGTATTCATTCAATCTAGAAATAAGATTTTTAGACATTTCTTAATCGTCTTTATTTTGTAAAACTATTCTTCAAGCAAGGCCGTTGACAAGTTATCAAAGAATTTGTGTGAGAATAATGAATGGTAAACGTCACTCATTTTCAACACTCCCACGTAGATGTGAGAAGCTACCGTTAAGAAATAAAGAGAACCTTCTATATCGAAATCTACTAGGCGAAGAACCAAAATAGAATGGTTTCACTTTTGATACTAATTATTCCAATACAATCAACCTTCATCTATTGCCTCAACATATTGGCCTCAAAACTCCAAATGACAGCAAATAAGCATATTCTATTATTACAATCAAGATGGTGCAAAAAAAAGTGACATATAAATGTAAAACAAAATTCAGGTAAAAACTACATGTTGTAAACTACAAAATCAGAAAAAAACAAACAAATGAAAATAGCTCATCTTAGGACAACCTTTAACTTGTTCTCCACCTGTTCTCTCACTTTCCACTGCATTTAAATACACAAAAAGACATTTAGTAATGGTAGGAGAAAGATGGCAGAGGTTCATTTGAAAGAGGGGTTACCTGCAGATCGTTTATTTCCTCGTCTGTAAGTGAACGTTCCATGGACCGATAAGCTATCCGATAGCAATGACTTGTCATTCCTTTCTTATTGGTGAAGTTGTCTATCAGTTTCACCTGACAGTAGTAGAAACGGAAGCAACAGTCACTAGACGAATTCATGTTACTAACACGAGTCACTACACGAACTACATGATGACTGAGAAATCAGTCTAGAGCCGACTCTTTGGGTCAGAGGATGAGTGGGTATGCCTCTCTACCCTTCTCCACTTATATATCAGAGTTAGTTACCACACAAGCTCATGTTACAAACACGACCCTATAAACCTACTGTAAAATTGTACAAATCTGTGGTGTTTGGCTTCACTAGGAAAAACGTCACTCAGCTCTAACCCCAGGGTATGACATGGAAATCACTTAACATAAATCTTAAGATAAAGTGCAAGACTCGGAATAGCTTACTTTGGAGAAATGAACTAATGATACCAATGAATAGGCCCATAAAACTGGTCGAGTAAGAGGAAACATTTCAAATAACTGGGAAAACTAGCAGAATAATGTGGAAAAGACACTCAAGAATTCAAATATTGGGGTATATCCATGGACCATTAAACGAGAGAAGTTCAAAGCGAAAACTAGATCCTTTATCTCTTGATTATTTTTTGTAATAACTGTGGTGTTGGGGCCAGCAATCACCATTTCTGTGGAGGTATGGAGCTCCTGTAAGCAGAATGTTTAATGATCATTGCACAAGTGTGAATGCCCCTCAATACAATCCTAACAGTAGATGTGTCCCCAACAAAATAGATTAAAAGTTAACTTTTCTTTTCAACAATAGTGTCCGAACCAGCTTGAGGTGCATCTCATCTATTCCACCAGAAACTTGTAACACAACACATTAATGAAGGGCCCCTCATATCTATTAGTTGAATTTGGCGGTAAGTAGAACCATCACGTGGACATACCTCCTCGGCAAGGTCTCCAGCAATTCCTCTAACAACTTCACAGAGATTGTTCTCGGTAAATGAATCACTGATCCAGAAACTCATATCTTTATAACAAGGTGGATACTGCAAAAATTAAGGAGTTTGAGTCTTTTAAACAAGATCATAAACACTAAAAGATCCACAAACATGATTATGCAGTCAAAGACTCAAATGGACCCCTTGAGTGCATTCTTCAAACAAAATGTTAAGCACTTAATGAAAAATGAAATGCTCAAAACACATATAAGAGTTGGATTATTCAAATGCTTGAAAATTACATAAGATAAACATTAGTAAACAAGTCCTACCTTGGAAAATGGCTTAAACTTCAACCCGAGCCGGCCGCTAGAAAACTACATCATGATCAAGAAAATGTTACCGAAAGCTAGCAAAATCTGAACTGGTGATAAAAAAAGGGGAGAGAGTGGTGGGAAGAAGTAGCTGAAAATTCAGAACAAGGTGAAAAATGAAAACAGGAAAGATGAAGAAATTACTTGAGAAGTGAACCGCTCATCAGTTGACCAGAACAGTCGAATATCTGGAATATCAAATAAAACCATAGCCAAGCGCTCCAATCCAAGCCCAAATGCCCAAGCAACATTGTCTGTTTTACCGCTTCTTTTCAATATTTCTTGTTCTGTCACTCCACAACCCAAAACTTCCATCCATTGATCCTGTAAAGGACTTAACATTGAGTAGAACATAATATACGGCATAGTTATTATTATATGGTGTATCAAATAAAACCATAGCCAAGCGCTCTAATCCAAGAAATGATGATTACTGCTTTTGTTATTATATTATCTTCTTCCTGAATGTTTGGCTATTGTTCCCTATAGTCCTTGCCGACACACATCCTTAATCTTCCTGCTTTCTGTTTTTCCCGAAGAAATCCACTTATTGACTGAACATTAGAGGTTGGCATATGATGTGAGCGTCTAACGCATGCTTGACACTCTTGAGCCACAGTAAAAGAAATTGTTTAAGTAGGTGATACAATCTTACTCTGCTACACATTTGATAGTATCTTATTGAACAATCTGATGAAACCACAAAACTAACTCGCACAGTATTCTGGACTTCGACATCTGGAGAGGAGGAAATAGAAGAAACAAAAGGATGTATAAGTCTGTCATAAACTAATGCAAAGTATACCTGAAAATATATCTCCAGTTCAAATGATGGATTAGTAAAGGGGAAGTAAGTGTCAACCCAGCGCATTTCCACCCCACCTGAAGAATTAGAAAGATTAGGCTGGAGATTCATAAATCTTTCTCACGAAAAAGTAAATCTTCTAGTAGAAAGATAGTTTTTGAAGAAGAGAACAAGTTAAAAGATCTATACACGATGGACCGGAATATAAGGGGAGCCATCAACTACATTATACCATCAGATAAGAACTTCGATAGGCATTCTTAACTTCTTAAAGTAACTTCAACCTATTATTTAGCAGTCTGCACTCTGGTCCAGCCTTCTATTACTATCTGCCCTAAAATCAGGTTCTAACTTCTAATTGAGACACCTATTCTTTAAAGAAAATTGAAAGAAGCAAGAAAGATTTATACAATGTACAACCATCACCGCACTAAACTTCTAAAGATGATATGAACAATTACTAAGTGGCCTCTAGGACCAACTCCTAATGATGTAAGGAAGTCACCTATAGATATGAATATGGTAAATCACTAAATCATAGTCAAATCACCAAGACTCGTTATTGATTAGCAATGCCATAAATTATATGGTAAATTATTGGCATCATAATGACTCATTTAGATGAGACAGATTTATACCAAATAGATGTCGTGCCAAACCCTCAAGACATTTCTTAAGATCTTCCGCAGCATGTGACGTTGCATCAGTACCTGAACCCTCCCAATCATTTGGAGCAAAGACCCGTACACCCTCCATCTACAAAGTATGGAAGAAAACCATTAAAGGATAAATCCACACAACAATCTGCAATGTCAAGAGAAAAATATGTTTGCAGGTAGAGAACCTGATGGAATACAGGATAGTGAGTTGAGTCAATGGAATCTCTACGGTACACATCGCCAGTAACAAGAAAATGGGTGTGTCCATTCCTCAGTAGCTCAGCTTGATGTGCACTTGTGTGGCACCTTAGGACAGTTTGAGAATCCACATAATATGTGTCATTGTAACTCCTGCTAATGTGATCAGCAGGTACCAAAACTTCATCAAAGTTCTGCAGGTAGGAACCCACAAGTCGTAGTAAGAAGAAGGCAAAGTTACTGAAAACTCTTACCAGGATACATGAACAAAAGGGAAAACACATCCCAAGTGCGGTTTATGAATATCCCATTAACAAATGAGTTCTGTTTCAAAAAAGCTTTTCCGATTCTTAATCCACTGATAAATTTATTTCCAGTTTGATACAATCATTGAGCTATTCTACCTATTCTACATAGAACATGTAATAACACGATTAAGAAATGTAAATCAAGCAACTGAAAGAAGTAGACATACTGAATAGTATTTCAACCTATCATTGAGAAACTTGATGATTCTAACGGTTTCTTCAATATAACTCTGTATAGGTTAGTGGCTGAATGGTTGACATGCCTGACTCATAATTGATGGGGAATAATATTGTTGACCTTAGAGCTAATAGAATAAGGTTTTCAGGAGTAGAAGAGTATAATTCATTACTCAACAGAATATGAGGAACCCCATGAAAAGGCCAAAATGAATGGTTTGTTAGGACCCTAACTTCACTGCAAATTAAACAGATGTTAATGCCAGCTATATGAAATTATGAATAAAGAAATATGCTTGATCAATGGAGAAAGGAACATAATTCGAACACAGAAAGCAAATATAATTACAAAAAACAAAATCATGAAGAGTGCAAAAAAAAAAGATTCCTTAACCTTCTTGGACCAACCTGTCTAACAGAAACTATTGGGCACAAATCATCAAACTTGTCAAACTTATCTGGATAGTTTGTGTCAAAATAATCATAGATCGCATTCTTAAGGATACCAAGTGGATGTTGGTTCCTCCTATGAAGCTGCATTCCAAGCTTTGCAAATATTGTATCTGGAATATTGTTTGTGGGGTCATCCCTTACTATTTCTGTATATGCAATCATCAGGTTAGTACCAATTACCAGATGATAGAACAAAATTCTCTATGTTAAAAGCTCCACCAAGGCAATACAGATGTCAAACTAAAAATAAATCAAAACATTTTTTACCCACAAAACACAATGGATAAGCATAAGGCCACAGTTATAAGTGAATAGAAACTGTCTGGACTTACAGAATTGCAATTTTTAAAAAAACACAACAAAAGAAAAAAGGAGAAATATACAGGTAAGACATAATAATACTTGACTTTGGCTCCTTGCCTTCGTATATCCAAGAGCTTTCTGTTGGCCCCGGAGGACCAAACTATGATAGAACACGAAAAAGGGAACAAACTTGAACCTTGTTTTGTACATAGGAAAATGGGAAGAATAGATAATTTTTTCAGCACAAATGTGCACTTTCCTATACTTGGAAATCTTGAATCCACCAAGCTCGAGAGCAGAGACTCCAATGGAGAGCTAACTACAAAATACCATTTCATAAACAATCCAGTAGCTATTACTACAACTACTCCACTCAATACAAACTAGTTCAAAGTCGGCTACACAAATCTTCAATATCAATCCTGCTCCATTTCGACCCAAATAGACCAACCCACAGGAGAAGTTCGATTCCACAATCATAAAAAGGCAAACTTTAATAACCTTGAATGGGAAAGTAACAACAAAATACCATTTCATAATCGACCCACAATCTGTTACAAAAACTAATATGCATCAATTCCAAACTAGCTTAATGTTTGCTGAACAAATCCTCAGTATCAAATTATCAATTATGTTCCATTTGGACCCAATCAGACAGACCCAGATGAAAATTTTAGATTCTACACTCAAAAAAACTCGAACTTTACAAACCCGATTCATGGTAATGAAAACTGAAACAATACAGAGAGGGCAGAAAGCTTGTTATGCTATTTAAGTAACTGACCATCCTTTGAAATCCCAGACTAAAGTGGTTAGCCAACTATGGAGCAGACAAAAACAGCTGGAGAATTGTCCCAAACAGTGGTACGGTGGACCATTTGGAAGGAGAGAAATTCAAGATGTTATGGAAGTATCAGTAGTCCTTTGCATAGGATTAAAATGGACTTCACTATCATTGTTTGCTATTGGTGTAGTTCGGAGTATATAGATGATCATGTAGCAATTGTAGACATCTTAGGATCCTTGTAAGATGAGATAGGACCTAGAGATAGGTTTTCTATTTTGGGTTGCTGAGCCTACTCAGTTGTATGTAGGTCTGTGATGTAAATTCTTGGGATCCCAAGCCTTAGTGCTGAAGATTTATATACAAACTTGTTACATTTGTCAAAAGAAATTCCAAACTAGTTCAAAGACGGCTATACAAATCCTCAATCTCAATCCTGCTTCATTTGGACCCATAATTAGAAGAGAAATTCGAGTCCACGATCATAAAAATGCAAAATTTAATACTGTCCAATGAGGAGGTAACTATAAATACCATTTCATAAACGACCGAGAAGCAATTACTATAAAAAATATGTCTCAATCCCAAACTAGTTCAAAGACGGCTATACAAATCCTCAATACCAATTCTGCTTCATTCGGACCATAATTAGAGGATAAATTTCAACTCACAATCATAAAAATGCGAACTTTAAAAGTCTCCAATGGGAAGGTAACTACAAAATACCATTTCATAAACTACCCAAAAGCTATTGCACTAGCTACTTAGTCCAAAGTACACTATCCAAATCCTCAATACCAATTCTGCTTCATTTGGACCCATAATTAGAGGATAAATTTCTACTCACAATCATAAAAAATGCAAACTTTGATAGCCTCTAATGGGGAGGTAACTACAAAATACCATTTCATAAACTATCCAAAAGCTATTACACTAAGCTACTTAGTCCAAAGTACATATCCGAATCCTCAATATCAATTCTTCTCCATTTGGACCCAATTAACCAACCCAGATGAAAATTCAACAGTCTACAGTCATAAAAACTCAAACTTTACAAACCCCACATCATGTAAAATGAAAACCAAAGTCAATACACATAGAAAAAGAGAAACATAAGTAAACTGACCATCTTTTGAAATCTTGACTCCACCAAGATCGAGAGCAGAGGCTACTACTGATGATTGCCTCTTCTTGTGACCATGGACTCCATCTACTGCAGGAAACGGAGAAGAAGTAGAAAAGAGGAGGAGAAAGGAACAAGAAATCCAAAGCTTCGAATGCCATTCTTGGGGAAATATGAAGTGGGATTAGAGAAGAAAGTGGATTTAGCTAATGAAAGAGCCATTGCAAATTTGCTCAGCCTCTCTAGTGAGTGGCGCCGGTTATTGAAACTCTATCAAGAGTCAATAGACATACTTCTCCTAAAAAAAAAAAAAAAAAAAAATTAAAAAATGGAAATATAATACTTATTATTATTCAAAATTCATCATTTTAATCTTGATCTACCCTACTTAATATTAATTAAATCACTTTGTTTGTATAATAATAATTCTAGTATTGCTTAAATTTATACCATTGTTTATGTATCAGATGTTTATGTCTATCGAGATATGTATGCCTTAAAAAAATTATTAGATTCAAATCGAAAAAAATCATCTAGACTGACACTTATTTTTTCGTTTTTATTTGATTTGGTTTTAGAAATTTAAAAGTCGACTAAATTGATTTGATCTTAATTTTAACAAATAACATATTCAAACCGAACCATGAACAATCTCACTTTTCATCCCATTCAATACAACACTCTTCACCTTACTATGAATAATTTTATCCTAAGCTATACTATAGATAGACATTTTCATCTTCGCTATTTTTATTCTTGTGATCGTATAAATTTTTATTAACTAAAATTATATTTCATAGGATACTATTGATCTAATCATCATTTTATTTCATACAATAATATTTATCTACTTATCCTTCTATCTTTATATTACTGTTTGTCTAATCACCTCTATATAGAACTTACCTTTTTAAATCTTAGTAACACAAAGGATAGACAAACCTTTATTTCACCTACCTCTCATCAATTCAAGTATGTGAAAACATAATCAATCCATATATGTCTTTGAATAGGAATTCAAGGTACTTAAATTTCATTTTATGTGTTAATTACATTATTTAAATTAATTATTTATGATTCTTTTTTACAAAAGAAAAACGGTAATTACTATTCTTTAGACATATATAGAATAAGAACTATGTTTCTATGCAATAGCTCGCAAATTACACAGAAGAAGTAATCCGCACTAAGCAAGTTTGGTATGACGAGCTCCACTCAAAAGACAAACTCTTGTAGTAAGGAATTTCGAATTTGAGGTCTCCAACATAAAAATCCCAAGCTCAAATCACTGGGACATCCCGAAGGATTCTTTATAAGTTATTTTTAATAAAATCAAATCCAACCAAACAAAATATTAATTTATTTATTTTTAATAAAATCAAATCCAATCAAACAAAATATCAATTTATTTTATCTTCTAACTTAATTTTCTAAATCAATGTTTAACCAAAAATCACCAAAACACTCCTAGTGGCTAGTTGATACACATTAAGAATATGTTTGATAAAAATTTAAATTTATTAGTAACAATAATTTGCAACAAATATATTTTCTTAAACTAATATCCATCTAAACATGCTGTTGTAGCTGTGATTGACAATGAATTCCGCATCAATTTCCAGCATAGAGTTCAGAACTTTCTCGAATCTTCCGTCACGCCGAACTGCATACTTAACTCACCGGCGCGTAGCCGAGACGCTCCATCAAAGTGCTTCTTCATTGCCGGAAAGAGTAGGTAGCAGCAGTAGCAAAGCTGGAAGGAAATCATTTATTCGCTACACTGTCTCTGCTAGCTATGGTGATAAGGAATCGGGTTCAGTTAACTCTAATGAGTTTACTTCTCCAGCGAAGGCACTCCGGAAACTATTAGAATCGCCGGGAGTTCATCAAGGACCAGCTTGTTTCGATGCTCTCAGTGCTAAGCTTGTTGAACGAGCTGGGTTCGATTTCTGCTTTACAACTGGTATGCAATTTGTTCTATGCTCAAATCTTTTTTTGCTTTTAATCACTGAGTAAATCCAGAGGATTCACGATAGTTTGACTATTCTAAGATAGCTGTTGACGCACTGCAGTGGTACTACTTTATCTTTGTTTGTGGACTGCAGCTCTTATTATTTCTACAGAGCGTTGGTTAGACCAACATTGTTGTATGGGGCAAAGGGCTGGCCAGTCAAGTACGCCCATGTCTATAAGTACAATGTAGTAGTGATGAGGATGCTCAGATGTATGTGTGAGTATACCAGGAGAGATATGACTAGGAATGAAGTATTACAGGATAAAGTGAGACTGGCCTTCGTGATGTGGCGGACAAGACGAGGAAAGCGAGGCTGAAGTGGTTTGGGCATTTGAAGAGGAGGCGTGTGGATGCGCCAATAAGTAGATGTAAGGGTTGGAGAGGTAAGGGTAGGCCAAAGAAGAACAAGGAGAGGTAATTAGACATGACATGATACAACTTCAGATTACTGAGGACATGATCCTAGATAAGAAGGTATAGAATAGAAGGTATGGATATTGAGGATTAGGTAGAAATGTAGTAGATAGCTGATTGGTGTTTTACTTTAGGTGGGATAGGCAGGGGACTAGCCTCATCTACAGTTCTTCATACTCTGTAGTATTATTATTTAGTATTCACATAGCTTCTTATTCTTTCACGTGTTTTACCATCTGTTGTTTGTTGCTTATTTGCTTTGTATCTTGCTGTTTACTGTCTGTTGCTTATTCACTTTGTATCTTTTAGTAAGACATGAAGCCATGAAATAAACCAAAGGCGAGACTCTGCTATAAAGTTAATTCTGGAACTAAAAGAATTTCTAAGATCTCTAGCCTCAGTTCTTGTTAGGTTTTTGTATACTACCTGGTTAATGGCTCCATATAGTGTTGTTAATTAGTCCAAACCCTTCTGCTGTTGGTAGAGCTTGTTGAGGCGTTGATGTGTGCTGATTATCTACAGGCTATAAGCACTGGAAATTAAGTAAGGTGTTGAATTAGAACTTTCAATGTATTAGTCTTTCTTTCTTTTGATTTAACTTAAGAATGAAGTTATAGTGAGTTTGCCAAATACTTCTCATATGTTCTTTTGTTAGCTAATATCTGGAAAACATCTGTAGGTTTTGGAATATCTGCTGCACGGTTAGGACTGCCAGATGCAGGACTAATTTCTTACGGAGAGATGGTGGCTCAAGGTCTAGAGATCACACAAGCAGTGTCCATACCAGTAATTGGGGATGGAGATAATGGATATGGCAACGCCATGAATGTCAAGAGAACTGTGAAAGGATATATTAGAGCAGGTTTCGGGGGAATAATCCTTGAAGATCAGGTTTGCGTGTTTCAAGCTTTTTTACCCTCTACTGTTGCTTGATAATTCTTGTTCATTTTTGCAACTCTTTATAATGTTTTCCATTTCCTCCTCTAGCAATGGTGTTAAAACATTCCTTTTCCTCAGTTAGTCTGTAATTTGCTGTCTCTTTTGAAGGGTGGCTTCCAATTTTCATTTTCCCTTTATAAGCTCCTATAGAAATTGATAATGTCCTTCTTGATTTCCACTGGATTCCTAACGGAAGTGCCATTTAATTTTCAGCGTGTCTATATGGTTGTGTATTGTTTAAGCGCATTTGCCATCATCTGAGAGAACTTTCATGCTCATGTCTCCCTTTAAACATCTGAACTCCATCTCCAAGAGATTTTTTCTACTCAAGGAATTTTTGGAATTCCATGAGTATAGATCTACACTACATATACAGCTTCATGCAATGGTTTTGTTTCTTTTGACTTTCATTTCAGAGGAGGAAACAGAAAGGAATGCGAAGTATCCACGTTTTCTCTTCATGCGTGTGATTTGCAAGGAAAATAATATAAAAGAGTGTAACTTCTATTGGGCTCACTTCTTTAGTTGAATGAGAAAGCAACTGAGTTCAGACTTCGTCGTTCCTCACTTTCTATTCTATCCAAACAGAAAGAAATGGATATCTTTAACTATCTATGCCATTTTCCTTCTTCTTTCTGCCATCCCTCTTTCCATTTTTACTTTTTTGATTATTGAGTTAGTGTCATGAATAAGTCTTGATCCTCTTCCTTCCGTTTCTATTTCTTACATTCATGTGAAAAAAAATTTTCTACTTGTATTTAGAAACGTCCAGTAACTAAGTAAAAGAAGCAAATCTACTTTAGATATTACTTGGTTCTAGGTACAAATATCTTGATTTTGATGCCTTAACTTCATTTATTTCTAATGAGGCATCTCACAAAATGCAAGTATTTGGGGATGTTAATTACAAGTCTAAGCATGCACTCTAGGATGCAAGTGTTTTAGGTTTCACAGTAGAGAATATAATTTTACATTCTTGCGAAACTTGAATGATTTTTCTATGGTGGATTGTTAGCTTTTCTTCATGCTTTAAGATATGGACCACTGTTCCTTCTTTAGGACTTAAACAAGGAGAAGCAATTAACATGCAAATAGAAGTTTAATCTTATTGATTTGTTTTAGAACACACACTTGGTCAACAAGTGTCCCCATGTGCAAGACTTTTGTAGTTCAATTTATCTTTATGTCACATATGATAGTATCATGGCTTCAATTTAAGGGGTGGTTGACTCTTCATTCGTTTTCTTTGTTTAGGCAGAACATGCTTAGCAATGAGCAGAACTGCAATTCACTGAATCGTAATTTTAAGCCTCAAAGTTCATGTATTATACATTGTCTCTGCTTTTATCTAAATACTTTTATACATCTAATAATAAATAAAGCATTTCCTCCCTGTTTGTGTTTTTTTGGTATCACGAATACTTTCTCCTTGTTATTTGTTCTTTTTGTTAATTTTACTCCAGAAGTTAACGGTCTTATAGAATGTAGTTGAAAAATCGTAATTGTTGTGGCTCTCATCTCCCTTACCTCCACCTTGTTTCTGGACTTAATCGCGTGTGATGCTGTTTTTGAAGGTTTCTCCCAAAGCATGTGGTCACACACGTGGCAGGAAAGTTGTTTCTCGGGAGGAAGCAATCATGAGAATAAAAGCGGCTGTTGATGCTCGAAAAGAAAGTGGATCTGACATCGTGATTGTGGCACGTACTGATGCACGTCAAGCAGTCTCCTTTGAAGAAGCCATTTGGCGGGCACGTGCTCTTGCTGATGCTGGAGCTGATGTTCTGTTCATAGATGCTCTTGCTTCCAAAGAAGAGATGAAAGCTTTCTGTGATGTCTATCCACTGGTTCCGAAGCTTGTATGCCTTCTTTCCAGATTCTGCATTGACTAGCATGTTTATATTATTCTAATTAGAAAGC